CGTTATTCTATTATTGTGCCACGTCGACCACCTGCCTAACCGAGCTTCCGACGTCATCATCCTACCGCTCACAACGGCTAGGAAATGACACTTTAAACTAACGCACTTCCTTTTTTTGGGTATTACTCGTGAAAATAAGTAAAATTGGACATTGAACATGTGTCAAGCATATTCCTGAACTACGAATCAGATTTCAAGATCAGGTGTAACGTAACACTATTGGGGTTTTGTCAAAAGTCAAAATCCGCGTAAGAACCCACTTTTAATGCTCCTTGGATGAATTGATTTTGCTATAGATAAATTTTCAATATAAAATATAAATGCTAACTTTAACATCAACAAACTTTAAAGAATTCGTCTGCGTCGCGAACTTGGAACATGATTCCTGTGAAACTTTTGAGGCTAGGACATCGATTTTCTGTTCACGTGATTTTCCGACACTATTAACAATTAACCAATTTCGACAATAGTGGTGAATTATTTCAACATTCTTTAACTTTATCCAAATTCCAATTTGTTTCAGGTATAATTCCGGATAATGCACATTTTTATGAATCAAACCATATACGATTTCCTGGTTATTTTCGTAAAATACCGATAACTTTTGGTAACAATTTAAATCCAGGTAATATTCTGCTTCGAATTTATTTCACTTTATTAAAATTAGAAGCTGAATATTGCTAAGATTTGATTTTTACTCGGAAGTTATTAGGACTTTGCGGAAGTAATCAGGATTTTATATATCTTATATGTTTAAAAATATGAATTTTCCAGAACGATAAACTGGGAAAGCCGGAGTATATATGTATATATATTTTTATAGTGAAAACTCATGTTTATCTTAATTTTCTAGTGAAATTTCACTATAAAATATCTCTTCTAACTCTAGTATAGTCCACACCTAAACATAAATGATTTTTTTTTTGTTCGATGATTATTGTCTTCCGAACATCATGTTGATCAATATCACGTCATGATTGGTCACTTTGTAGAACATGCGAAAACTGTCCAATCAAAACTTTTTACACGTATTTGTTATAAGTGATATAGTGTGTAATAATACGGTATTGATTTTATATACTAACGCTAATTAAAACCCATGAATTAATTCGTACGAGCAATAAACGGTAACTTAATAATTAGAAATAGACTAAAATGATTCAATACGATTTAATTTAGATAGAGAATTATAATATATATCTATCGCCATATAAAATTACAATAAATGAAACTTTTTCATCAAACGTTGAACGACAGATATATAATTTCTGCAATACATAATAAAGCCATCTTAAATAAACCAAGAATGAATGAAATAGAACATATTTATTGCTTAAAGAAATAATAATAATAAACATAAGCTCTTTTATTGCGTCCTTAAATAATATTGAAAAAAAAACATTCTGAATTTGTTAATTTTCAAGATCCCGAAATATAAAACTACTTATCAAACGTTTCTTTATACCTAGGTAAAGCTTCGAGTGTCGTAATCTATTTTAATATTATTGTAAAATTATTACGTATACATTTAAGCTTTTTTTAAAAAATAGTTACGCTTTGAGAGTTAATTAGAAGCTTTAATATATTTATTAATGTCCTAGCTTAAAGACTGTCTCTAAGTGAAGTGTACCTAAAGAGAGTGAATCTCAGAGATACACAAGATAATTAAAGCTTCGTTTGAGAAGAGTCTTCTGTAGTATTATAAACGACGGTTACATTTTTTTTTAAAAAAAAATTTACTATGTTAGAGAGAGGGTGAAAGTTACTCTAAACTGTATAAATTCTATTGTATAAAATTGACCAATCACGAGAAAGTCCTCTATATATCTTGTATTAAGACTGAGACCGAACCGACCGACCAGGGCTGTAAATACTGATAAAATCGGCTATCATAATAATTTGGACGGTCGTCCCTAGATATACATGGTTGATGGCAAAATTTTGAAATAGTTAATATTATGTCGTTATTATTATAGAATACTGACATTATTATGGACTGTCGCAACTATTTTAAACTGCAGAAAGTATTATTATAGAAAAAAGTTTTGGTATATTACCTTTCTTGTTTAGTGCTAATTAAATTTTATATACTGCACAAGCATAGAATCAATTCTTGACTTAATTTTAGCAAATCGATATCACAATGATGGTATTAATAGCAACTAAAAAAAAGACATATAATATCAAAACGACTAGTTTACATGTGCCTTTTAATTTCATATAATATAGCACTATAAGTATGACTGTAAGTTTGGTTTTCACTCGATGTTGCTCATATGATGAAAGAAACGCAGTCACTTATAATAAAAACTTCTAGAACAGCCCGACATAGAATCCGAACATGTGCGAAGGAAGAAAAAAGAAATGAAAGAGAATTCCACCTTTGGTGTACACTAATTAAATTTAGTATAAGGAATATCATTAATAAAAATTGATGTCAATATGCCTGTACTTTGTTTAATGATGAGTGAAACACAAAAACTTGGTGGTCCCGTGACTAATGTGATACCGGAATATCGTGACCGATCACGTGAAAAATGCACGAAATGCAATAGGTGCAATAAGTTACATTTAAGATCGGAAACAGTATTTTGGATCCAAAGGGGTAGATAGGGAATAAAGGGAGGAAATAAAGGATAAATACGTGTAAATAGCTTTAATTAGTTTTAATAGGCAATAAGTGTTAAGTCGCATTTGTGAGCGACAAATTCAGTATTATAAATAAAGGCCGAAATGGCCCTTAGGAAGAGTATGCTTCGTTTGCTTTATTAAATTACGAGTCCTATATCATACATTATCGATAATAAAACACTAACGCCATTGCCATTACAAACCCTGTAAACTTTTACTTTCGTTCGAGTTCTTGACCACGTGACTTACCCTACATTATTCGTTGACCCAAAGTAACCGAAAGCCTTAATCACCCACCAACCAAATCTAACACCCTCTTTCGAAAAGGTTGCCTATCGTACGTTACACGAGATTTGGATTGTGGAGCGACTGAGTCGCAATCTTCCGAACCCAACACTAATTAAACATGACCTAATTTTTGTCTAAAAATTAAAGTTTGTATTAATAAAAAGTAGAAGAATATATCTAAATTCTTGTGCTGGAATCTTTATTTAATAACAAAAGGCCGATTACTCTTGCGAATTTATGAGTTTTTAGTGATTGCTTATTTTTTTCGCTACTTCGCATTTGTGTGTTACACACTGATCTTTACAATCGAATCGGATAAAAATCACAGGACCGCAAATTTGTGCGCCATCACTCCATAATTAGGGATGGGCTGCGCAGAATTTTGATACGTAGACTGCACAGTGTGATTTTTAAAATTCAGGCTAGCCAACATAATTCTGGCCAGCTAGTATAATTCTGATCGGCTTGCATAATGCTGCATGCTGCTGTGTTGACATACCATACCTAAATTGAATTAGAGTAGGTGTCCCTTAAGCTAAATTTTATTCTAAAATTTTACATGTAATAAGTGTAAATCGAGACAGTCTATCTCTATAGTCTCTAATGCTAATGTTCTAACCTTAAAACTTTTGTCATTACGTACTTAGTTTTTATTTTACCAAATTGAATTTCCTTTTTTGGTTGTGCGGAATAAGTGTAAACCCGGAAGATCTACATCCGACAGTTCATTTAGCTGACATCACATCAAGCGCCGATTTACTAAAAATATACCTGCCCTAACTCTATGTGATACCGGATAAATGAATTGTTAGATAAAACGATTGTAGGTAAAGTGTGCAGTACAGAAACCGTTGGAGTTTCGGATTATCCGCGGACATAGATACGGAAAAATTTTTATTGCCGTAAAATTTATTTGCAAATATTTTATTTAGCTAATATTTAAAAAAATTTAATAAATTATCCTGAAAATCAATTTTTGTTGGCTAAATTTTACTCCGAAAATCTCTGTAATTATTACATCATGGGTTTGAAATTTAATTTATTTTTTAATTTAATTAGTGGTCTCCAGCTTCCAATTTAAGTCCGAATTTTTAAGCCGATATTCGTATTATACAATTATTTTATTTTATTGGCTAAATTCGAAAATTAAATAAAAAGCAATAGTACCATGGTTAAATAAATAGAATCATTGAAGGATTTCAGACTTAAAATGTGGAATAATTTTAACATAAATAGATGTAGTTATTTTCAAATAAGCGATATATCAACCTTATTTTATTTTTAAGTAATGATCATCATTAAATAGTTTGTTTTATTTTCAAATTTTGAAACAAAATAAGGCTCTTTATACTACGTACAATTTATTTATGAAATAAACAAATTATTTTTAATTTTGAAACCCTCATTGTATGTGCATATGCACATACAATCGATCGATTTATAACACTATTTACATCACGACAACATTACAGTAGTTGAATGTTTTTTCTCTTATGGTTCAAATTATTATAATCTATATATTCAATTTTATATTAAAGTTTAATCTGAAAATGGATTCAAATTCGAAAGCCAAATCCAGTTTCAAATTCTAATCACCCACGAATTTACTTGCTAGTAATGTAATCGTTTTATTAGTCTAGATGCTTAAAGCTAACGTCCATGAATATGTTTTATTATTTAATTCAATTTTATTCGAGCTAATTTAGCGAGTGGGAGTCTGCAACCAGGGCTCGTGCTGTGCCCAAAAAAAAACTAAGCATGGGCATGAAAACTCAGGCATGAACATGGGTATAAACATAGGCATAGAATTTTGGCGTAGGAATGAATACGGGAACAAAAACTTGTATGGGACGGGTATAAGCACAGAAATTTAATTATTTGTTATTTAATTGTGCCTGGTGTTTGTGCCGGTGCTTGTTCCTGGCACCTTATGCCCAACATTTAGTACCATGTTTTTACTAGTGCATGGCACTTTGTGCTCATGCCTTTAATAGTGTCTGGCACTTTTGTATCTATAAACACAGGGCATATGCATAAGGCACTAGTGTCTGGCCTGGGCCAATATGTTAAGCATGGATATTTGCAGAACTCTAGTATAAAAATCATTTTATTAATTAAATATTTAAAATAAAATACTTACAAATATTAACAATTTAAATTAATTTTATTTATATTTATTTTAGTTTGTGAATATAAAGAACATTTTATAAATTTAAGCATATATAATTTATGAATACTTATTATTTTTTATTTATCTATGTTAATTGGTCAATAAGTATAAAAATTCTATTTGTATCTAGTTTAAAAGTTGTAAAATAACAATTTGATACTTATAAAGAAGAGATTAACAATTTTATAAAAGAATTTCAACTTATAACTAATAAGTATAATAGATTTAATTTGGCAAACAAAGAAATATTTAATTGTATATTTTTTTGTAGCTGACTACTATTTTATATACAATTATATAAACTATTTATAGTAAGTTGATCAAACACTTTTTAAAAATTTATTTTGAGTTAAATATACAAAATATTAAATTAAAATTTTAAAAATAAATTTACTAAATCTATATTATTTAAAAATATATATATAATAAATTTTATATAGTATTTTTTAAGATAATTAAAATTATATAAAAATTTAAACTTTTATATTTATATCTTTAATCTAGTTTTAATATAAGCAATACTAATTTTGATAATATATTAAACTATTTTTTATTAAGTAAACTAGTTTTCAGTTTTTAAATAACCTTTTTAATA